GGATGAATTTGGTAGGGTGTGTAAAAGAAGAAAATTAAAGGTGAATACAGGAAAGAGTAAGGTTATGAGGATAACAAAAAGATTAGGTGATGAAAGATTGAATATCAGATTGGAGGGAGAGAGTATGGAGGAGGTGAACGTATTCAGATATTTGGGAGTGGACGTGTCAGCGGATGGGTCTATGAAAGATGAGGTGAATCATAGAATTGATGAGGGAAAAAGAGTGAGTGGTGCACTTAGGAGTCTGTGGAGACAAAGAACTTTGTCCTTGGAGGCAAAGAGGGGAATGTATGAGAGTATAGTTTTACCAACGCTCTTATATGGGTGTGAAGCGTGGGTGATGAATGTTGCAGCGAGGAGAAGGCTGGAGGCAGTGGAGATGTCATGTCTGAGGGCAATGTGTGGTGTGAATATAATGCAGAGAATTCGTAGTTTGGAAGTTAGGAGGAAGTGCGGGATTACCAAAACTGTTGTCCAGAGGGCTGAGGAAGGGTTGTTGAGGTGGTTCGGACATGTAGAGAGAATGGAGCGAAACAGAATGACTTCAAGAGTGTATCAGTCTGTAGTGGAAGGAAGGCGGGGTAGGGGTCGGCCTAGGAAGGGTTGGAGGGAGGGGGTAAAGGAGGTTTTGTGTGCGAGGGGCTTGGACTTCCAGCAGGCATGCGTGAGCGTGTTTGATAGGAGTGAATGGAGACAAATGGTTTTTATATACTTGACGTGCTGTTGGAGTGTGAGCAAAGTAACATTTATGAAGGGATTCAGGGAAACCGGCAGGCCGGACTTGAGTCCTGGAGATGGGAAGTACAGTCCCTGCACTCTGAAGGAGGGGTGTTAATGTTGCAGTTTAAAAACTGTAGTGTAAAGCACCCTTCTGGCAAGACAGTGATGGAGTGAATGATGGTGAAAGTTTTTCTTTTTCGGGCCACCCTGCCTTGGTGGGAATCGGCCGGTGTGATAATAATAATAAATATAATATATATATATATATATATATATATATATATATATATATATATATATATATATATATATATATATATATATATATATGACTCACTTTGTTGCAAGACTCGAGGATAAAATTCAGTCAAGGCTGCATAAAGGTCAATGCAAAAGTGTAACTACTTCAGAAACAAAAGGTCAGTGTTAAAAGGTCATTGTTAAAATCTCTATTTTCAAGAGGCACTGACTAGTGTTCTGCCGTCGGATGAGAATTATTTCAACAACACACAACCATCCCACGAACAACAGATGAATATTTACAAGACCTTTCTGTCCATCCAGGGTTGAAACACCGTTTATAAATTTTCTCCCGTTCTGTGGGTTAGCCGTGAATTGTTCCAGCTACAGTACTGAGTTAGCTGTGAATTGTTTTAACCACGGTATTGTGGGATACCTGTAAAATGTTCACCCATTGCATTATGTGTTGTAAATTGTTTCAGCCATGATATTGTGAGTTATCTGTGAATTGTTTCACCCACAATATTGTGGTTTACCTGGGAAGAGAATTTTTCTAACCAGAGTATTGCGGGTTAGCCATGAATCTTAGCCACGGTACTGTGAAGTAGTGGGAAGTAATTCCTGTCATTTTGAGTTAGCTATGAATTTCTCCTGCTAGGCTATTGTGGGCTGTAAATTGTGCCAGCCACAGTATTGTGAGTTGTGAATTGTTTCAGCCCCTTAAATGTAGGTAATATAACCCAGGTACTCAAAGGCCTATTATCTTGGGTGTAAAGAGAGCAAAATAAACACAGCAGAAAATTTTGAATTGTATTATCCTTCACCAAGTATAAACAGAAGTATGTACACTATGTACAGCAATAGGTATTAGTGCACGCCACGGTAATCAAGGCAAAATTGAAGCCTACAGAATGCAGACCACCGTGCTTCAACCAGCTCTCGAATGGAAATGACAAGAGTGAAAACGTGAGTGGTAACCGCTCACAGCTGAACCTAGATACTAATCTGACGATGGGGCTCCGATCATCAGACCTTTAGCATCTGGTTCACTGCTTGGTAGGCAGCCTATGCGAGTGTGTTAACATGTTTTGAATAAAGATTACATACTCTTTGCATGCAACATTCCTTGACGCTGATGAGGGGCTCTTGATCTCGGGAATTGGATCAGTGTTCCGGTTCCCTGAATTAAGCCTGAATACCTTCCATCCCCCCACATCGGCTGTATAATCCTGCAGGTTTAGCGGAACTAGAATTTGTAATTTAAAGAGATTTAGTGGTACAACCATCGAGGGAGGTTTCTTGATATTGGGGTCCTCAAGGAAGGCTCTGATTAGGATTCAGATCTGCTCCAGTCCTTTGAATCAAGCCTGAGTGCCTTCCATTCCT